TTCATTGTTTCGAGCCTATTCGATACAACAAACAAACAAAAAAAAATTTCCCCTCTATATAATATTAGAATAGATTATAATCAAATATCTTCAGACCCATAAAATCCTCGTCTCGTTCTCATAATTATTTTGACCCATTTCAAATGGAAGGAGGAATTCAATTAGGGTGTACTTTTTGTGGATTCGAGTTACATTTACTCGATATATTTGTTAATCACTAGGTATACTTTATGGGGGCACTGTATCAGTGATATACGAGTAGGTTAGGCTATTATGTTCGACTCCGGCTGTCCTGGGTTCGTTGGTAGTTGGTCCCCTTCAGAAGGACACTACCATCTTACGTCCTAAATTTCAAAACAGATTATCACACTCTATTGCTAAAATAAATAATTTTAAGTGGTTTTGAACGCAGCGTATTTATTTAGTCAAAAAGTAAATAATTCTAGTTATCCATCTTGTGTGATAATTTTAACGTCAGGAATTTTACTACCTATATAAATAATACCAAAAAAAACTAATTCTTACAGCAATTGATCGATCTAGGTACTCACTCTACCTACTATAGACCTTTTTTTTTACCGTTGGGAAATTCATTTAGGTATTTCAACTGCATACATAAAGGTGGTTGTGTGGTGCTCACCGGCAAAACCCGTAGTACCCACTAAAACCCAACGGAACCTTCCCCGTCTGAATGGGGCATCGCAGAATCACTTACGCACTTAACCACGACGCTCCGACACCAGGTCTGCCGAAGCAGACTACAACAACCATGGGGTTGCTCCAACAGTCTGCTCTGCTATCAGAGAAGTACCAGGAGCAACCCGCATGGCACACCGCCCAGCGAGGTGGGCCGTCACCCAGCGCGTTTCTTGGCTTCGCGCCCGGTAGGACTGAAGGACGCTAATGAGTCCCACCACCATGACAAGGTGAACGCACTTTGAAGGGGTTTCTACTATAAACCTTATTTATCTCTTTCTCTTTGGCTCTCAAAACTTCCTTTCCCTAAAATAATGTTTCTGTAAATGTTTTATAAAAAAATATCTAAAAATATCTGTACATTTATTATTTATTTAATAAAAAAATTTTCTCTGAGGGCTTCATTCATTCAAATCATTTCAATATTATCGTAATTTTACTTTATTTATTCCTTAAATTTCTTTAGAATGATTGTACAAATAAAAACATTTTTTAGCATCAAAATTTTAAATAGTTACTTCTAAATCTAAACACTTTTTAAATTAATTATTAAAACTAGTATATTTAGTTCAAAATTTTTACCAACACGCAAATCACACCTGTATCGTAGTATCTGAGGTAATACACTACATGCCATGCAAAATTGTATGGCAACCAAAACTAAAACTTAATTAAGGTTCTACTTCATTTCCGGACCTTTGTGACGGCTCTCAGTGGGCTTTGAAATTATTCAAATTCAAAGAAAGGCGAAATCAAGAGGGAATCGACGGTATGCCACGTAATGATTCATTTGCATCGGAGATTCGGTTTTAAGGGCCGTTATTTTTGTAACATCTGTAAGCCTGAGATAAGATGAATATGTTTAATATCAAGGACATTTTTATATTATTTTTAATAAATACATCTTATAGAGTTTTATAAATTCTTTAAGCACAGAATTTATTTTAGTGTGTATAACTATATACTGCTTAATTTACCTACTTGGAATATTTTTTTTAAGTTATATTTAATAAGCTAATGATCCAAAAATTTGACTGTAATAAAATTTAAATATAAATAATATTCTCAGATGAATAAATAGGCAGTATGGAGTAGCTAGCAGTTCAATAAATAATGTTAATTTATTTTACATATCGGCCTAAAAGTAGGTATTTAAAAAAATAATAATGTGGTCCAAACCGATTGAGTTAATTAAAGTGGCCAATCTTACTGAGATCAACTGCGCGGGACAAATTAGCGGGCACAAGTGGGAGATAAGACGCAGGACTAACAGCTTAACGTCCGGCGGCCGATCTCACCCAGAACACCATGCGGACAGAAACACAAATGTATCTCTATTCCATTTACTTTTAAAGTCAGGTAGGATGACATTTCAATATGACTGTATATAGAGAAGGAAGTAGTTTCTTGTTGGAACACCCCAGTAACAATACTTAGTCAACCCGGGACTCGAACTCAGGGCCTCTGGATTTGCAACCACACATGCGAGCCGCTCGACCAATGTATATATTCAAAGTATAATATGAAATATCTACAAATATTCTTATCATATTCATAATTAATTAATAAAAATCTCTACTAACTTTATCAAGCAATTCCGAAACCACACACGAATCATAAAAATCATACAATCCGAACCGAACATATTTCTTATTATAATTTCCAAACAATATTTGCTCATTTTGGTGAAACGTGCCCGGACTGCGAATCCAATAGGCCGGATTGTAATTAATTCAGGACGAAAGAAATCAAAGGATCGTGATTAAAAGCGTGCGATGCGACGTCGGGCCTTATTTTTCGGACTGTTGATGCCCGAGTAATTTCCCTTCGCGCCATTATAATTTGTCCAAATTACTGCGGGTACCCGACTCGTAAATTACACTGGACGGGTCGTTTGTAACGAAGTGACCGGTTACGCCGCTTGGCTCGTCCTGAGGTGAAGGCTTGCACATGTCCGTATACGCACGCGTGATTATCTCTAACACAAATTTTCACCATAAAAAATTCTTCTTTATATCTACACTAATGTTATAAAGAGGCAGAGTTTGTTTGTTTGAATGCGCTAATCTTAAGAACTGTTAATTTGATTTGAAAAATTCTTTTTGCATTAGATAGTCCATTTATTGAGAAAGGCTATAAACTATATATTATATCATGCTACTACCAAACGGAGCGGAGCAGTAATCATAAATGTCAACAAATCGGGCAGACTTCTATACATTGTTCTAAAACTGATGTTTATAATTACAGAATAAGTGCTTTGAGCTCAGAAACTGCAGAGCCGATTTTAAAAATGCCTTTTGCAAAAAGTTAAAAGAGTTTTTTTTGTAGTTTTAGCGCGAGCGAATCCACGGGTTCTGCTAGTTATAAATAAAAAATGTTGGTAGTAAATTTGTATTTTTTTCCCCCGTTTTCTTAGTCACAGAGATACGGATTGGCTTGGTTGAGACATTTTTACACATATGTATATTGTTTAAGGATCACTAAAAGATTGAAAGGATTACTGAAAATAGCTTACGGATTACAGGAAGTGACCTATGCCAAGTTTATTTTGCTTCTTCTTCTTCTTTCTAGACTCCTCTTTATCGCGGTACATTAAGTGCCCTTGACTTTATTACTCTTCTTTAGGTACTTTTATATTGAAATTTTAATTAATCAATGATATGAATATTATTATTATATGGCTGGATCAAATTTGTTTTTAAATCAGTATAATTTGTCAAATATCTCCACACCACGTCCTCCAAGATTATCTTAAAAAAATATTTTTTTTTGAAATATAAAACTATATTTTCGGATTATTTCGCGTATTTATTTTGATTTTTGGCTCTCAACATTTCGAATGCTTTACAGCAATCATGGTCACGGGAGAGGCTAAGGTTATAGATGTCTCAATAGCGTTATGTAGGTACTTGTTACAGACAGTGCCTACCCAATATTTCACAAAAATGATTTCAAAAATTCAAAAATGGCACCAAAATATATTTTAATTATTCATTCGCTTCCAAGAATCCTCCAAATATTTTTCTTAATTTAAGAAGTGATTTAGAAATTATAACTTTTCAGTTTTCTTATAATTTCTAGATTCTTGCTTTTTATTTCTTATTTTTAGAGTGATTTACCACAAGAAAATTAAACTCATGCCTGTACATAACTCTGAAAGTTTAAAATTGTTGGAAGAATTTTCAATCCTAATACAATAAATGTATAAAATATTTACAAAAATTTAATTTAAATTAATTACATTACATTTTTTTTTCACATAAACCATGGCAAATACTAAAAGTAATGGTTGTTCTCGATTTAACCATACACTAGTCGCGTGACCGTACTGCCTTATCATTAAAATCTTTGTGGCAGAACAAGAAGGTCAGCACTTTTTACTAACCTTTTGGCACCGTTTAAAGTTAATTATATAAATCAACATTACTGTACCTGCCACTAATTAATTGCCTTGCTTTGAAATAAACTAAATTTGAAATATTAGTTATAATAAGTTTTTTTTTTATTTCTTAGCTTATGCCTGCGTGATTTCCATACCGTATATTATGTTACATTATCGAATATTACATAATGTGAAATTTGTACATATATTTTTACTTCAATAACTTAACTAACATTTAAATGAAATTTGCAATGGAGATAACTTGAATAAAAATAAAAACATAATATAAATAGATAGCGAGTTTTATTAAATTATATTATTTTAATTCCCATTGCTACTAAAATTTCTTTTGGGGTGTTCAAAGATAAATAATTATGCCAACCGACTCATGAGTCTATGAACCCACTATCTACTGTTTGGGGCATACCTATATACATTTAAAAGTATTTGTAATAAAAGGATCATAAAATCACGAAATTATATATTTTTTGATCTCCTGTAAAGATTTTCGGCAGCTATTATAAATTAACATTTCACAGTCAATATATAAAATAGGTAGCTAGTTATTTATACTTATCGTCAAAACGTGGACGAGCGTAATCATTATGTGCATCTCTGTACCCCTATTTTGCTTCATTAGGTTATAAAGGAGGACAAGGGATATTTTTACCCCTAACAGTGACATTGAGGGTAAAAAAATATATAACTATTTATTTATGTGGGTGGGTGGCTTTTTTCGTGGGTAGGAGTGAAACACGTCGGGCGTAAAATTGTGATCAGCTGATTTATGTTATTATAAAATATTATAATAAGCATTTATTAAATAGTTCTTATGTTTATGTGAGTAACAGTTTTACCCACCTGCAAGAATACTCCTATTTTTACTCTCTTATACACATCACTTACGATAAATACGAAAATGGAATCCATCAAGGAGTCGTTATCTGCACTAACTGACATGTTTAATGCAAGAATGCATGAGTTCCAACAGGATTTAAGCAAAGCATCAACACCAGCTTCAAGTAGTGTTCTACCAGGTGAATTTAACCATTTCTGCAGTTTTATTTTATCTGCATTGAACACACTGCAACGGCAGGTTGAATATCTCGCATTAGAGGTCGACAGGCAAGAGATGAGGAACAGGCGGAAAATGTTATTATTTCACGGTGTTCCTGAGCAAAAAACAGAAGACATCCCGGCCCGAATCACTAGCTTAATTGCCGAACACCTGGACTTACAGAACTTTTCTACTGAAAATATTAAGCACTCGTTTCGCTTAGGCCGTTCTTCTGATAAGCCCAGGCCTATAGTAGTAAAATTTCGTGATGTGTCCGTGCGTAACAAAGTATGGTTTGCTAAAACCAAACTAAAGGGCACTGGTGTTACGCAATCGGAGTTTCTCACGAAATGTAGGCACGAAGCATTTTTAGAGGCGAGGCAACGGTTCGGGGTCAACAATTGTTGGACACGAGGTGGGTGCATCCACATCATCGCACCTAATGGATCTCGACACCGTGTGGAGTGCAAGTTGGATCTCAGTGCCATACCAAACAGTCCAGTGAAATCATCCGTGCAAAAGATAGTAGTGTCGAAAAAAACAGATAATGTTATACCTTCTCGCGTAAAACGTATAGCTAAGAAGTAAATTTAGTTTATATTATATTTAAAATCAATTAATTTTACTAATTTCAATAGATTGAGTTACTATATGATAACTTTGTTTATTGTTATTATTATAGAAAGTTCACAGACTTATTACCATAACAGATTATATTTATATCACAGTCCACAGATAACTAATTTTCTTGTCTTTGGTAACTTTAGGGTACAGATACACAACATATTTTTGTTGTATTATTGGTTTGTAATTACCAATTATTGTGTGTTTTTTACATTCTTCATTTTCGTATGTATATTTTTGTATGATTCTATTTTATTTATTTTTTTATATATCTCTTTTTTTGTTTGTAATTTTAATTACTTTAATGTGAAATTTCTTTTTTTCTTGAAACTGGCGGGTGAGTTGTAGTTGTGAGATAAACTTGCTAGTATTTTTTTTTTTATATCATATTATTATAACTATTTATTTAATAAATTTAATTTATTTATTGTTTATATTATTATTATATAATATAAATATTTAAGTATATTCTATTATTATATATTTCTTTTTCCTTAGTATTATTTACATATTTATTTATTTTATTATATTATACAACGTACAAAATGACGTCGATTTGCAGTAGTTTAAACGATTCTTTTTTGTCTTGTTCTACATCGGAGGATGAAAGCAGCAACGACAGTTTTCATAGTATCCAACCACTTGATGAAACTCTTGATCTCGTCTTCTCAGATGTTCTGAAAAACTTTAACTTAGTTCATATTAACGCCCAAAGTATTCCTGCGCACTATCCCGATATGTTGTCTTCTTTTACTTCCAAAAATATACATGCCATTTTGGTGTCCGAGTCATGGCTGAAGCCATGTCTCCCATCTACATCCTACGCACTACCAGGGTTTCACTTAATTAGAAATGATCGTGCTGAACGCACTGGAGGTGGAGTTGCAATCTACCTACGTTCCCACATTCCTTTCTCGATTATTAGTATGTCTAAGAATCAAGGAGACGTAGGACCCGAACATCTTTTTATTGAGATTTTATTATCTCACACTAAAATACTCCTGGGTGTTTATTACAATCCTAATCTCACTATCGATTATTTCTCATCATTTGAAACCCTGTTAGAAACATATAAGCCTATGTACGATCATACTTTGGTGATGGGTGATTTTAACACCTGTCTCCTAAAGAATGATCAACGCACATCGCGTCTTAGTTCCCTTGTAAATGCAGTTAATTTAAACATTCTACCCTTAAGGCCCACTCATAATTTTCCAAATTGTCTACCATCTCTTCTCGACCTAATTTTAGTATCTTCCACTGACCTTGTTGCGAAACATGGTCAGTGTTCGGCACCGGCTTTCTCATACCATGATCTAATCTATTTGTCGTTTAAATTGAAACCCCCGAAAGCAAAATCAAGAATCCTTCTTCAACGAAATTTTGGTGGTATTGACCTACAACGCTTGCACGCAGACGCTGAAAGTGTGGATTGCTCAGTGGTTACCGCAGCAACTACAATTGATGAAAAAATTTCTATATTCAATTCTCTTTTGATCCAGCTGTATGATATTCATGCTCCAGTTCGGCCTGTACGAGTCAAGCATCTTCCAGCTCCCTGGCTTACACCAGAAATCAAAAGGTTACAGATCAAAAAGAATGTTGCAAAAGTAAAATATGTTTCAAATCCTAGTGACGAAAATAGGGCAAAATATGTCAAGGCTCGGAATCGTTGCAACATGGTGTGTAGGGATAGTCAACGACGCCATATCTATAAATCGGTTGTCGAAGAAGATGACTCAGAAAAAGTCTGGCATTTTCTTAAGTCTCTAGGAGTAGGTAAATCTAGAGTAAATATTAATCCTAAAAACTTAGATTTAAATTTCTTAAATCAATATTTCTCTTCTTCTAGTATTATAAATGGTACAAATAAATCGAATACACTTAATCTCCTTTCAAATCTACCTACTCCTAACTTTCCCTGTTTCAGTTTTAGTCAAATCTCCGAAAGTGATGTTAAGAGAAATATTATGGCAATCAAATCTAACGCCGTTGGGGCGGATTGTATAAGTCGCAATATGATTCTTCCTATTATTAACTTTATTGTTCCTATAATAACATCTATCCTTAATGCCCCCTTAAATCTCCACAAGTTTCCTTCGTCCTGGAAAGATGGCCAAATTATTCCACTCCCAAAAAAACCTAACCCTTCTTCCTTTTCTGACTACCGACCAATTTCAATTCTTCCTTTCCTATCCAAGGTCCTCGAACGCCTCGTGCATCGTCAACTAAGTATTTTTCTACATCAAAATAGTCTATTAAATTCTTTTCAATCTGGTTTTCGTCCTAGTCATAGCACGGTCACTGCGCTAACTAAAATAACAGATGACGTTAGAGAAAGCATGGACAACAAAAAGGTTACGGTATTGACACTATTAGATTTTACAAACGCATTTAATACAGTAGATTTCGACATTTTACTTGCCATTCTAGCTTCTCTTAACATATCTCCTGAGGTGGTTGACTGGTTTCGTTCTTACTTGTGTGATCGCCGGCAGCGTATACGAATTGAAGATTCGTGCTCTGAATGGTCTATAATTAATGCTGGTGTTCCACAAGGTGGTGTCTTGTCTCCTCTCCTTTTTTCAATTTTTATTAATTCTATCTCTCAACAAATTTCTTCTCCCTACCACCTGTATGCTGACGATTTGCAAATTTATGCCATGACTACTGTGGAGAACTTGCCTATTACCATTAATAATATAAATAAAGATTTGTCACTCATATCATCATGGGGTAATTCATATGGACTCAATCTAAATCCAGATAAATCTCAAGCAATTATTTTAGGCAGCCAGAGGCTATTATGCAAAGTTAAAAATATGCACATACCACCCATTCTTCTTAATGGTGTCCAAATTATGTTTACTGATAAAGTGAAAAACCTGGGTATTTTAATTGACCAGTGTTTATCGTGGGGACCGCAGATAAGTGAGATGAGCAGAAAGATGTTTGGAGCGATTGCTTCTCTTCGTAGATTAAAAAATTTTCTGCCCATACCTACCAAAATTGCGCTAGCAAATTCTCTTCTACTACCGATTCTTGATTATGCTGACGTTTGTTTTCTTGATATCAAAGAAGAATATTTGAATAAACTTGAGCGACTTCAAAATCTTTGTATACGGTTTATTTTCGGCCTTCGGAAATATGACCACGTTTCAGAATTTCGTAAAAAACTCAAGTGGCTTCCTATCCGTTTCCGCAGGAATACTCACATTCTCCATCTTCTTTACTGTGTGCTATTTCACCCTTCAACTCCTTTTTATTTAAAAGAGCGTTTTGAATTTTTAAGTAACTGTCATAGCCGTTCTCTTCGCTCGGAGCACAACCTAGTTCTCAAAATTCCTCCACATTCTTCATGTTTCTATTCTAACTCTTTTACTGTAAAAGCTGCCCGGCTCTGGAACACACTTCCTTTAAAAGTTAAAAGTGCCAAAAGCCTTGATAAATTTAAGCTGTTATTAAAAGAATATTACCTGTCCCTTTAGTGCTCTTTTTATATTTAATTGCATCTATAACTATGTATATTTGTAGGAACGTATGTATATAAATTAGTATATATGTGTATTGTACGTTTATATATTTGTATTGTGTGTTTAAGTATGTATGTATATTTGTATGTATGTATATATGTATGTATGTACGTTTGTATGTATATATGTATTATGTTTATCTATTTATATTGTATGTATAATTATATCGTATAGCAAGTACACCGCCTACCATTTCTCTCACACTCTCCTTTACCTGGTAGTTGGTTGCCTGGAAGAGATCGCTTTAAGCGATAAGGCCGCCTACTGTGCATCTTTGTTAATTTTTAATTACCGTCTGTATGTATTTTCTCTTTGGTGTACAATAAAGAGTATTATTATTATTATTATTATTTTTATTTCTTTATATTCATAAGCCTCAGTACTTGGTACCAGAGTATCAACAATCACGGGCCTAAACCAAGTGAGTGCCGATGTATTACGGATTATTATTTAAAAATTTTCTCACTAAACGACATGTATTAAGTATAGCTGCTTTTTGTAGTTGTACGTAAGTAAATGGAGGAAGCCCAAGCAATTTAATAGACTGATGAAGATTCTTGGGTACAACACCTGTGGTGGATATAACAATTGGCACTATTGTAACTGTCTTTATTTTCCACATTCTCATAATTTCATCTTTAAGATCCTGATATTTAGCAAGTTTTTCTGTAAAAGTATTATGTAAGTTATGTGAGTTAGGTATAGCAATGTCTATAATCGTGGCTGTGTTGTTTAATTTATCTACCAATGTAATATCTGGTCTATTATATGGTACAGTTTTATCTGTCAGTATGGCGCGGTCAAAGTATAGCTTATACAATTCGTTTTCAATAACAGATTCTGGTGTATATTTATAATAGGGTAATGGAGATGAGGAAGTAAGATTGTATTTAATAACCAACTTTTGGTGAATGATACATGCAACTTGGTCATGCCGATGCTTGTAAGTTTAAGCAATTAAGTTTGAGCAATAGATTTACAAGCACCGGTTATATGTTGAATGGTTTCTGAGGCACAGTTACATCTTCTGCATATATCCGTATGGAAGTTTTGTTTTTTAATTATATATTTTTGGTAATTTCTAGTTTCTATGACTTGATCCTGAATTGCTATTATAAACCCTTCAGTCTCTGGAAAGAGTTCGCCACGTCTGAGCCATTCGTTCGATGCTAACTTGTCGACGTTATTCTGGTTCAGTTCGTTTTGATGTCTTCCATGTAATGACTTCTGGGTCCATTCTCGGATTTTGCTAAGTTTATCAGTTTGTGTTTCATTATTTTGTGGAGCTTTTTGTATCAAATTAAGTGGGCTTAGCTTTTTATCATTCTGAACTATTGCATTATGAAGGGTAGATGTGTCAGTTTTGGAGTAAAAATACTTTCTGAGAGTTGCTATCTGTTTGTTATGCAAATTTAATATATCGATTAA